GGGCATGATTTTGAATGCCCGGAGCCAACTGTAGGCCACTTCGTGTTCTTCTAGTTCCCAGAACTCCACTCCTGGGCCACATTTTGAATGCTGAGGCAGGCTGATGCTGCGGCCGAGGCAGGCTGAGGCTGAGGCAGGCTGAGGCTGAGGGCGAGGCTGAAGGCAGACTGAGGCTGAGGCTGAAGCAGACTGAGGCTGAGGCTGAGGCAGGCTGAGGCTGAGGCTGAAGCAGGCTGATGCTGAGGCAGGCTGAGGCTGAGGCTGAGGCTGATGCAGGCTGAGGCTGAGGCAGCCTGAGGCTGACGCCGAGGCTGAAGGCAGACTGAGGCTGTGGCTGAAGCAGGCTGAGGCTGAGGCTGAGGCAGGCTGAGGCTGAGGCAGGCTGAGGCTGAGGCTGAGGCAGGCTGAGGCTGAGGCTGTGACTGTGACTGCCGTTGCCACTGCGACTGTCCTCGCGAATGCGACTACGACTGCGAGAACAGCAGAATTCTACAACTGGTTTCTCATCTGAATCGTAAGGGGAATGCTTCCAGATATGCTCCTACACATCGCTGTTAGGTTGCTTTGCCGGGATAATTTTCATGTTCGTCGTCTTCAGGGTCGGTCGTAAGGCCTTCGCAACATCTGAGAGAACGCGATCCACCGCCGCTTTAACTACAGGAAATTCCCCCCCCTCTTCCTCCGGAACCCGGGGGTCCCCCCCCCTCGAAAATACCCCCCCTGCTGGACGCCCCCGCCCTTCCCCCCACCCCTCCCGAGGCTCCTTCGGCGCCCCGAATCCCCCCCCCCTCCCCTCCCCCCCCCTCCAGAAAACCAGAGGGGTTCACTACCGGTTCGAACCCCCCTCTCCAGAAAGCCGAAGGGCGGTCACTACCAGTTCGAAGGCCCCCCCCCCTCCAGAAAACCGGGGGGGGGGTCACTACCAGTTCGATCCCCCCCACACTCACCGCCAGCAAAGGACTCCCGATAGTCCCACCTACCGTCCGCACCACATTCCCCCACTTGCTGTCCCAGCACCACTGTCCCCACCACTACTGTCCCCACTGTTCCCACCACCGTCCCCACTGTCCCCACCAGTGCCCCCACCACTGTCGCACTGTCCCCACTGTCCCCACCACTGTTCCCACCACGGTCCCACTATCCCCACTATCCCCACTTTCCCCACGGTCCCCACCACTGTCCCACTGTCCCCACTGTTCCCGCTGTCCCACTATCCCCGTCAATGTCCCACTGAGCTGTCCCACTGTTCCCACCAGTGCCCCCATCAGTGTCTCTGTCCCATTGTCCCACCACCGTCCTCGCCACCACCGTCCTCACCACCACTGTCCCGCTGTCCCCACCACATTCCCACTGTCCCCACACCACTGTCCCCACCACCACCGTCCCCACCACTGTCCCACAGTCCCCACCGCTGTCCCACTGTCCCCGCTGTTCCCACCATTGTTCCCGCTGTTCCCACCAATGCCCCCATCAGTGTCTCACTGTCCCCACTCTCCCCACCATTGTCCCACCACGGTCCTAATCTCCCCACTTTCCCCACGGTCCCCACCACTATCCCACTGTCCCCACTGTTCCCACTACTGTCCCACTGTCTCACTGTCCCCGCCGCTGTCCCGTTGTGCTGTCCTACTGTCTCCACTGTCCCCACCACTGTCCCACTGTCCCCACTGTCCCCACCACTCTCCCCACTGTACTACTGTCCCACCACCGTCCTCACCACCGCCTTCACCACTGTCCCCACCACTACGGTCCCCGCCGCTGTCCCACTGTCCCCACCATTGTCCCGCTGTCCCCTCACCTGTGTCCCCACCACCACCGTCCCCACCACTGTCCGCACCACTGCCCCACTGTCCCCGCACCACTGTCCCTGTCCCTGTATCCCAGCCACTGTCCAACTGTCCCGTCCCGAGGAGCGGGAATTAATTGCCGGTGGCGAGGGGGGGGGGGGGGGGGGGATTCGAACCAGTAGTGACCCCCCCCGTTTTCGAGGAGAGTGGGGGGGTTCGAACCAGTAGTGACCCCCCCCTTTCATGATGGACTGGGGGGGGGGTTCGAACCGGTAGTGATCCCCCTCAGTTTTCGAGGGGGGGGGGACGGGTTGGGGGTTCCCCCCCCCGGTTTTCTGCCACCAGCGGTAGAACACGCAGTTCCCAATGTCCTTCACGTGTCTTGGCCCCGGCCTGTTTTGTGCCTAGAGAACTGCTGTTTCGCCTGAGTTCGCCCTTCGCTAATTCGGACCCTCAGGAGCCTGTCTGGACCCGTTCCCCGGGACCGGTCTTTCGCCCTGAGTCGTTCTTGACGGCCCCGAAGGCCGGTAAGGGCCCCCAGAGGCCAAAGATCATGAAAACCGCTCGTCGTGATTTTTTTTCATGATCAGCGCCCCTCTAACGGGGACTCCACTACCGGGTACTTTGGCCAGTGACCCCGCGAACCTAACCCTCCCCGATGTGGGCAACGCTGCAATGCCACAAAGAGGCCCCAAAGTGGCAACTTTCGGCAATTTTCAAAAGTACCCGTTAGTGAGTACCCGTTATACGGCGCCGCTGACATAACTCGAGGGGGTCTTGGCCGGCGGGTCCCGTGTAGACACCCCTGTCTCGTGACCTCTGCCGGCGGACGGCCAGCACCGGCTGCCTGGCTGATATCGGCGGCGGCGCCCAAGAGAGCCCAAAAAGCTTCCCCTCGCGGCTCGCGCCGACCTGCAAGGGGCCCTGGGGCCCACAGGTAGATACACGCAGATAGTCGGATTCCCCATACGCTCCCGTGCTTTCTGGGTTTGTGGTATCTTCTCCCCCGCTCCCCATATGCTTCCATATTCTCCGGGGGATCGACGATTACAAATTGTGCCTGTGTGCTTCTTTCCCTCCTGCTCCCAGCAGCGCACGCGGGCGGCGCGGAGGCGGCTTGGCGGGGCGCCCTCCAGGCTCGCCGGGAGGCCCGCCCGAGGGCGCCAGACTAATGAGGTGCACGCGGCCGGGCTGTGAGCCGCGCGCCTGGCTTCCCCCCCCCCCCCCGCTCCCTCCCTCCCCCCCCCTCCTGCCTCTGTGCCACAGGGCTCCGCTGGATGGCAAAAAACGAACGTGCCTTTTTTCCCCTCCTGGCAGCCCCCAGGAGAACCCGTGCCGGGTCCGCCGGTCGACGGGGAGCCGCCCGCTTCCGACGCTCTCCGCCCTGCGGAGCGGAGGTGGGCCTTCGTGCGCTCAAGCTACGGATCTGGCCTTACGTCGGGCCCGTCCCCCCACAGGCCGATTTTGGACGAAAAATAGAGCATGGTCCAAACATACCCTTAGAAAATCCAAGAATGGTCCACAAATGGTCCCAAGACTATGTTTCATCACTTTGCTTGAACCTCCCCCCTGTAGAGGGGAACAGGCCCGACTTAGATCTGGCCTCTTGACGCTGCAACCGTTTCCTGCCCGGCGCCTCCGTCGTCCCCCCGCGCCGCCCAAGCCCCTGAGGCAACTGCTTGCTACAGGGCGATGCTGCCGCTCACACTACAGACATGGCACACTCACAGCCGCAGGTGGACTCGCGCGGAGGGCCAGCGCTCTGGGCCAGGGGGCCTCTTGGGGCTTTTCGGACGGCATCTGGGAGCCTCTTGGAGTTAGGGTCTCCTTGGGCTCTCTGCGGGCATCTTGGCTCCTTAACGCACCTCGGGGCAAACGTGAAACGTCTCCATCAGTCCGGGGGCTGGTTTTGCGAGGAGCGTGGTCCTTAAGCACGAAGCCGCCGATTTGGGATTCGTCGCCGGATTGCCAGAACAACAGTATCCCAAAGGAACAGTGCCTGGAGTTGCGATTCGGGGTTAGAGTGACGTGACGCTATCAGAGCTACAGCATTATGCTTGAGGTCGCTTCGGCATTTCCAAGACATCGCATTGAAGGTGTTTCTCGAAAGAGTGCAGACTGCCTCAGATCTTCACGTATCGTCAAGGACAATCTAAGGGACACTCCAGGTGGTCAAGACTACGAATTGTGACCTTCCAAAAAACTATGCCAATTCTGTGGAGCATGGGCAGCCTTACCTTGAGCAGACTATTTTATCAAGTGTGGCTAGCCCCACTGGTTATGACATTTGAGCCCTGTATACTCCGTACGCATCTCGCGGCCCCCACAATATTCAAGAGACTGCAGCCAAGCGAACCGGGAATTTCCATAACTTTACGTTCCGATGGCAGGCTCGAGCTCTGACCGTAGAACTGCTTCCTGAGACATCGGCAACTCTGGAGGCTCTATTTTGGTATGGCAGCGCTCTTTTTTTAACCAGGCGACCTGGCATACAGAATGCCTCTCGAAATCTTCTGCGAGCTGCGTTCATGAGCAATGGAGCATTGACTTGGCACTACAGAGCCTGCAGTCTCAGCGCCAGGCCACGTGGTTATAAGTCGCACCACGCCGCGCCACGCTCCGAAAAACTGCTAGTAGAAATCATCCTACTCATCGTACTCGGGAAATCCATGCCTCAATGCACAAGCTGACTGGCCGCTGCGCCAAGCCGCGCCGCGGACGGCAACCGTGTGAGTTGAAGCGAAGAAGCGGCGGAGGATGGGAAAGAACGAAGAAGCGGAGGAGCGGTTGCAGCCGCATGGCCGATGCAACCGAGACGCGCTGGAACGTGATGCGCTTGGTTGCCAGCCTTCGCGCCAAGCCGCGCCATTAAGGGCCACCCTGAGAGCCGAAGTTCTTCCACGCACCCCGCTCGGCAAATCCATCGCCACAAACAAAGATAGGACTTCTCGTCCAGTCTGCTGACACCATTGTTGGTTCACCTCACTAATCCAGATGGACCTGCTGGAAGCAATAGAAGTGCCAGAGAAGGGCAACGCATGAGGCTATCAGGAAGCACCAGAACGTCTTCACGACGTGTCTATATGACGGGAGCATCGAGCTAGCGATTATCAACGCCGCTCGTTGGTTGCCCTGCGCAACTGCGCGAACGCCCATCCGTTTGGCCTGACAGGTCTCTTACATGCTTTGTTCTGGCTGTCGGTTCAGTGCGAGTGCTCGTGACATGGGCCCCAGCTCCTCGCACAAAGGCTTCGCTTTGCTATGCTGCGCTATGCGAGAGGAAATCCACTTCGTGCTATAATGGGGGCCTCTCATGTTGATTCCGAGGAGACGGGGCTTGGACATCGCACCACATCGCCGATGCTTCCCCGATCCACTGGCGATGCATCAGCGCCATCGGCGTGGAGAAAACGTTGCTCCACATCGAGCCGCATCGCCGATGTATCGGCGATGTGGTGCGACCTTTCGACCCAACATACTAGGACACACTTTGGGAGGCCTGGACAGGATAGTACGAATGTGAACGCTAGTGCGCATGCTATGTATGCCATGCAGTTGCGAAAGCTGAAGCCTGTGCTAAGGCTGATGCTATTGCCCATCATGTGGTGTGCCACGCTACACGCAAACTTTGCCAAACTATCGTTTGAGATGGTATGTAATGCCACGGCACGCTATGCTAAGCAGTTAAGCAACACTGCCACATGATGCGGTTGATATACATAATTAAACAACGCTGCGCTGTGCTACGATGCCTCGATCTGCTGTGCTGCGCTCTGTCTGGCATCGAGAAGCGTCATGCTGCGTTGCACTCCACTGCGTTGCACCTAATCGGGGTCTCGATGGGTTCCTTAGGAGACCTGCCACGCTGGCGGTGCAACACCGAACAGCCATTCAAGCCATGCCGCGCAGGTCGTAACGTGCCGATGGCCAGCATCTTCTTACCCCTGCCGCCTCAAGCGCCTCGCACCTGCCACAATACAGAACGCGGCTGACCCGCGTGCAAGCAACGTCGCACAAATTGGCTTCGTCGAGGCATTCTCGGGCTGAGGGCAACGGCGTGGAGGGGGCCTCTGCTCTGGACGGCGCCCTCTGGAGCAAGAGGCGGGCGGGAGGGGGCGGCACCAAGCTTGAGGAGGATGGTCATTCGGGGTGCCATGCCATCTTAAAGTGAGTGTGGTCGTTGTATCGTTTGTTTCCCTGTTAGCTCGACGGCCCGCAGGACCCTGACGGCTGTAGTAGAGCGGATCGCGAACCATTCAGAACTGTGCTTTCTGATGTGAGGCCCGAACTCTGAACCTTGAACTGTTTCTCGAGACGTCTGCGGCCCTGGAAACGTGTCCTTGTGTAGGGGGACCTCCTCACTCGTGCGCAGGCGGTCTCGCACAAACTGCGCAAAAAAAAACTTCTGCGAGCTGGAACGGAAGCTGCGATTATGAACAGTGGAGCTTCGTATGCGCAGAGCTGCAGGCCGCGTGTGCGGCTCGGTGACGTCGCGCGGCAGGCTGCCAGGCGATGCCAACAGCCCCACAGGTGGCACAGAAGGCAGAGGTGAGACACACGAACCGCCGAAGCCGACACGCAAAAGATGCAGGCCGTCGCACCAAGCCGCGCAACATTCCGCAACACTGCGAGTAAAGGAAATTCATGCATCCTAGTCGCCTATTCGCCCCCCCAAGCCGCGTCGACTATGAGCCGTGCGAGGCGAGGAGGAGTAGGAGTAGGAGGAGAAACAGTAGCAGCCGCATGGCCATGGTGACTGAGATGCGCTGGAACAATCTGGAACGTGACACGCAAGGTTACCAACATTCGCGCCAACCCGCGCCATTGAGGGCAACCCTGCGAACCGAATTGGTGTGTACGCACCCCACTCGGCAAACTTGCTGCCGCAAACATAGACAAGGCGTCTAGTCGTGAACTTGCGCGGTCATGGCCCACGATGGAGAGCAGAACATTCAACCCATCCCAGTCGCGCTAGATAGCAACATTTCTGGCTCATTGGGTTCATTCTACCGAGACCGCTGAACGCGGTAGATGTTCAAGAGTGAACGTGGAAGATGGGGCTGAGCGGACTCCCCATACCGTCTACATGACGCGTCTGTATGACAGAGGACTCCACCCAATTCGCTCAACGACCTGGTCAGCCAACACGGACACGTAAAACTGCGCTTCGAAAAAAAGCTCGCTGGCTCTCTGATGCAGGCTGTCACCATTGTTTCAGCCCTGCCGGCCCAGATGCCCCGCACTTGCCACAAAACAGGAAGCTGCTGACTCGCGTGCAAGCAAAGCCGCGCCAACGGTGACTTCGTCGAGGCGTCCTCGGGCTGAGAGTAACGGCGTGGAGGGAGCCTCTGCTCTGGACGCCGCCCTCTGGAGCAAGAGGCGGGCGGGAGAGGGCGGCGCCAAGCTATAAAAGGATAGTCACCTGGCAGATCAGGGAAGCTCTTGTTGCTTCGTTTATTTCACCGAAGCGACCCCGCGGAACACGGTGGATTTTCAACAGAAAGTGGGGATAGGGCCGGGAGGACTTTCCATACCGTCTACATGACGCGTCTGTATGACAGAGGGCTCCACCCAATCCATTCGGCGCCCTGGCCAGCCAATACAGATGAATAACACTGTGCTTCGAAAAAGAGGTCGCTGGTTCTCCGGTGCAGGCGGTCAACATTTTCGCAGCCTTGCCGACCCAGATGCCCCGCACTTGCCACAAAACAGGAAGCTGCTGACTCGCGTGCAAGCAAAGCCGCGCCAACGGTGACTTCGTCGAGGCGTCCTCGGGCTGAGGGCAACGGCGTGGAGGGAGCCTCTGCTCTGGACGGCACCCGCTTGAGCAAAAGGCGGGCGGGAGAGAGCGGCGCCCAGCTGGAGAAGGGTCATCGAAGGCAAAAAAACGGCAGAAATCGGTCTTGAGGCGCGCGCCCAGAGAAGACAAGATGTCAAAACTTGGATGCGGAGACTGCTCAGACGCGCCGACCTCCGAGCGCCGGACCCCAACGCTCAGAATCACCTGCCACCGGCACCGCCTGCGACGCCCGTTGCCGTGGGCTGTTCACCCATTCGGACGCCACCCGTCTCCGTCCTAGGCCTCGAGGCCTTCTGGCGGGGGCGTACACGGCAACTGCGCGCACTCCACGGCGCCGCCCACGAGTGCTGGACCCCTCCCGGGTGGCTCAGGAGCGCGGTCGCGGGTGCACTGCGCCTGTGGGCGAGCGTATGCCCAGCAGTCACGGTGGGTCACCCCGCGGCCGTGCAGGTGGCAGTCGGGGCACGTGGCGCCGAACTTGCAGGTGCCCCTCTTGAACACGAAGTTGCAGAACCTTGGGCGGGCGGCCGCCTCGCCACGCAGGCACCGCCCCTCGGGCCGGCAGTCCTCGCACCGGTCGAGGGTCTCGACCAGGGTCGCGTCGAGCATGCGCTCCAGCGACCTCGGCACGAGCCAGCCCTTGGCCTCCACTTGTGCTGTTCCCTACCGTACTCGAGGGCCACACCCCAGAAATAACTTCGAGCACCCGGAAGAGTATCGAAACGGTGTCGAACGAGTATCGCCTCCCTGGGGCCCGACACGCGCGAACGCTCAATTTTTGTCGGTACTTCCCTGGTGCTCCAAGTTCTTCTTTGGCGGCCATGAGGCTATAGAGTAGGCTGGAACATCACAGGCCTCCATGTGCTGGAACCACGCGGGCCTGCACGTCAGCGTGACGCACCGCCAGTGGCCGCACCCGTGGCGCACCTCCTGCCCGCCGCACCCCCCGCAGGCGGTGCCGCCGCCGCTCGCTGTCAGCTCGCTGCCCGCCAGCGGCGGCTGCGCGAGGCGGGGCCGCGGCTCCAGCAGCGTCAGCGCCAGCGGGGCCCGCGGCTGCGCCGCCGGCGCGGTGGCCGCCGGCGGTGCCCCGCGGTGCACGGGCGGCCCGGCGGCCCGCGCCGAGGCGTCGAGCGGCGCTGCCTCGTGCGGGGCGCCCGCCGCGCCCGCGGGGCGCGGTCGGCCCCGCGTCGGCCCCGGCTCCGGGCCCCGGGGGTCCGGCTGCGGCCCCGGGGGGCCCCGCGGGAGGTCGAGCGCCCCCCCCGCGGAGGAGGCTCGCCACGGCCTGCCCTGTGCGGCGTCGCTGGCCCGATCCCTGCCCGCACGGGCGTGGCCTGGGCACCACTGGCTGCCTTGTGCCCCCCCTGGATGGAGATACAGCTGTCCCCAGACGTGCCCGCGTCGGGAAAACAAATCAGGAGGGACGGCTTCTGGCAATTTTCGGCCCCGGGGGGCCCTCGCCGGGCCTCGGGACCGTGAAAAAACAACTCAGGACGAAAAACCAGTCCCGGGGAAAGGGTCGGGACTTCAAGGGACGCCGTCCTGACAAAATCTCAGGACGTCGCAGGCGTGGGGTCTGTTACCTTCGGGTTTCGAGGGGTCTTATCTTAGGTAGGGCATGTCCCCCTGCAGGCGGATTCTAGATGAAACATAAAAGATACTTAAACAAGATTTCAACTACTCAAAACTTCCAAAAAATCGTCTCCTGCATATTTTGGGGACTCTTTTGGAATATTCCTCCCGTGGAGGGACACGCCCGACGTACGCCTTATCCCCAACTGGGGTGGTGGGATGGTGGGTCGGGGATCTTCTGACCCGGGTCAATCCAGACCCAGGTCAATCAGGCCCTGCAGACTTCAAGATCCTGCATCCAAACCCGGGCCAGCGCGAAGGATCCTGCAAGATCCGGCAGGATCCTGCACCACGGCCCGGGCCCATGCGACCCTGGCCCTGCAGGATCCTGCAAGAGAGATCCAGCGCTCTGGCTGACTCCCGCTTGCATGGGCCCCCGTCCCAGGGCTGCCGAGTGGGGCCGGGATGCCCTGGGCCCGGTGGGGATGTAGGGGCGGGCGCAGCGAAGCTGACCTGTGCGTCGGGCGCCGCGGGGGTCCGCGGGCGCGCCGCCGCCGCCACGGGGGCCGCCGGCGCTGCGCCGCGGCGTCCCGGCGGCCCGGGGGGGGGCCTCGTGAGGTCGAGCGGCTCGTCGGCAGGGCAGGCCGGCGGGGTCCGCGGGCGTGCCGCCGCCGCGGGGGCCGCCAGCGGTGCACCGTGGTGCCCTGGCGGCCTGGAGAGGTCAAGCCGCTCTTCAGCGGGGTGGGCCCCCCGGGGTCTGACCTGTGCGGCGGGCTGCCCTGCGCCGCGCTCGCGCGGGCGCGCCATGGCCCTCAGCCGCAGGGGGCGAGGCTTTTGGAGGCGCCCAGAAGCGGGTGGCGCGAGAGGGCGGCTCATCCTGAGATCCTGGTGGTGCAATGTTTCTACACTGGGCGGTTTCGCCTGCTTCGGGTCCCGGAGCACTGCTTGTATCCACCCGGTTCGAGACGTGGGGCAGGGAGATGAGATCTCTAGGGTTCCCGTCGTGATGTTTGTTTTGCGATGTTGTGTAAGGGCCTGGCCCCGCAGGCTTCTAAGAAGGCTTCTTGGAAGCCGAGAGGGCTTCTGAGAAGCCCCCCGTGCATTCTTCGAAGCCCCGCCGCCACCTTCTCGAAGGCCGACGCCCTCGCGCCATTCCCCCCCCAATGGCCCCCGCCAAGAAAACAAGAGAGGAGCGGAAGGGATGAGGAGAGGCTCGGGGCAGCCTGTGGAGCATGAACCTGTGGACAACAACCAGCCCGAGCCGAAAGGGGCTACCCACCGACAGCGGGGCGAAAGGAGCATGGCGGCGGAGGCCGGCAAAGGGCAGGCCGTGAGGACGGGGACGTGCGGGGGCGGGGCGGGTCGAAGGGAGCTGGCAGCGAGGCCTTGGGCTCTGCTTACACGGGGGGGGGGGAAGTTTGCACCTGTCTCGTGTTTTTCTTGGGCCCCAAACGGGGCCCCTTTAGTGCACAAGGAGGCACCTTTGTTCGCCCTCCGCTCTATCGCCCCCGCATGACTAGCTAAGCGCGCCCCACGGCTCGCACAGCAACTGCTCGCCAGTGTCCCGGATCCGCCTCATGCGGGCCACTGCACCCATGCGGACGTGTGCTTTTCGAGCGTCTGCGAGAGAGCACTCTGCGGGCAGTGGCACGCGCTCGGTGACTGGCGCAGCGCCCGACGATCGTCGGGGCCGGCGGCGGCCTGCGGCAGCGCCGAGTTTGGGGTGGTGGGCTTGTTTTCCACCACCACCACCATAAGTATTTAGGAGGGGGAGGTGGTCCTCCTCCTCCGCTCCTCCTCCTCCTCCTCCTCCTCCTCCTCCTCCTTTTCCTCCTCCTCCCCCTGTTCCTCCTCCTCCTCCTCCTCCTCCTCCTCCTCCTCCTCCTCCCCATCCTCCTCCTCCTCCTCCTCCTCCTCCTCCTCCTCCTCCTCCTCCTCCTCCACATCCTTCCTCCTCCACATCCTTCCCCCCTCCAACTTCTGGTGGTGGTGGTGGAAGACAGGCCCGTCATGGTGGGGGGGGGCGGGAGCTGCGACAGCCGAGGGCGAGCGCGCGCCACGGCGGGAGCTCTGGGGCAGGGCGGGGCCTCCGCGCAGGGGAGGGGGGCGGAGGGGGGAGCGCATGCGGGCGGCCGGCCCGTTTTCCCGCCGCGGGGGGGCGCCTCGCTCGCGCGGTGCGGCAGGGGATCGGGATCTCTGGAGCCGCGCACGGACGGTCAGATCTGGGCGAAAACTGCTCGACCCGAGCAGGTCGGACGTCGTGAAACTGCCCCGACCTAAGCAGATCGTTGAACTGCTCCGACCTGAGCAGGTCGCTAAACTGATCCGACCTGAGAAAGGTGTGCTGCAGTGGCACAGGAAGGCACGACGATGGCCCCCTGCGGGGGGGGGGAGCTGTCCCCAGGAAGGGGGGGGGAGGGGACCGCGCGAGGTACTCGCCAGGAGTCTCCCCCAGGAAGGGGGGGGGCTGCAGCGGGGGGGAGGCCAGCGAGGGGAAGGCGCCGCCCCGAAGAGAGGTCCTGGGTCAGGGATCGACCTCAACAGTGTTCTCCGTTTTCGTGCTTGTTCTCCTTCCCCCTCGTTTTGCCTTTTTTTGATCCGCCCTCGCTGCCAAACGACATCAAAACGAACACGGCCCACGAAATCGCCAAAATACCCCTTGGGCCCACCCCTGGTCCTTCGACTAGGGGATCGACTACAGAATTCATGTACCCCGAAATTGGCTTCTCCATCGGATCTACGAAAAGTACGTATAATACTCCGTATATCTCGGAGCATCCTACGTACGGGTTGTTGACTCGACGGACAAATCCATGTTGGGGTAAATCAAGTCTGTAGTCGATCCCCTACTCGAGTCCTGGGTGGAGGAGGGCGGTCAGTACCAATCGCTGCTTCATCGGGTGGCCTACGGCCTGCCCGCTCCCTATGCGATGGCAGGCGGAGCAGAGGGGGATGTGCCCCGGGCGTTCCCTGCAGATGCCCCTGCGTGCGACCAAGACGGACCTCTAGGTTTAGATCGGGCATGTCCTCCTACAGGCGGATGTTGTAGATAAAGGCAGAACGGCCACCAACAAAAATAACATAAAAACCACACACATACAAAACACGAAACATCGTCCCCAGACACGTTTTCTTGACCATTCTTGAACATTCCTCTTGTAGGGGGACGTGCCCGACTTGACTCTACTTTCGAAGAGCTGCCTAGACGGAACATCGGGGAGCCGTCGGCCAGGAATTCCTCCTCCCGGCACCTGCTCAGACTTGCACTCAAACGTTCCGACGATCTGCACAACTGGCCGACCCCGGAAACCCTGAACCCAGAAATGGTCCCATACCCATCGGTCGGAAGAAGTAGGTAGAAACATAAAGTAGGAAAGCGTTTGAAATATATTGGGTTTCCGCCCGCCTCCTGAAGAGGAAGGAAGAGGGAAAACCACTCGACTCTTGAAGTAGGAAGGCGCTGAAAGTAGATTGGAATCTGGGAATCCAAAAAGACATACTTTCAACGACCGATGGGTATGCTGGGAGGTCGACTTTTCGGACCAGAAAACAAACGACACCACCCCACCCACG